TACTGTGAGCCATGCAGGTTCCTCAAAATGGAAGTCACATGGTTGATTTTTCTACCACCTACAATAATTTTTGCAGCGCTGTTTTGAATTGACTGGAGAATAGCAAGAAACCTATCAGGCAATCCATGAAGCAAACTGTCAACATATACTTATCTTGAATGAACGAATGTGGGTATTAATAATGTTTGTTCTGTAGACTGAAGCAGAAAATTTCTAATAATATATATATATATAATATATATATATATATATATATATATATATACAAATATATGTATAAATGGCATATATATATATATATTTATATAAATATATATTTATATATATATATGTATATATATATATTAAAAAAATGAGTAGGTATGAGTGAGAATAGTTGATCTGACATCAGATACATTGGTCAGTATAAGTACATAAAGTACACCATCTCCCAACCACGAACAAAGGTGCATTTTTGTTGTTAACACCTAACTCATTTTAGGCTATAGACGAGTTTATGTTTTTGAGGTGTTATATATATATATATATATATATATATATATATATAGTGAGCCAACTCGAATCCACAAATACGTGAATATATAAGAGGTGAGAATTTCCAACCTGCTCCCGCAGTACGATTGGCCAGTACGAATACGTAAAGTAGACGATTTCTCACCATGACCAAAATCGCATTACTGCGAACACCCAGCTGGTTGTAGACTAGAAGCGTTGCAATATTGTCTACTGAGATAGTAACTGCACTAAATTGGTTTAAATTTAAATTTTTTTATTTTGAGGGGATAGTAACTTAAATTTTGAGGGTAAATCTTGTTTGAAATTTTTTAAAAGTAACCCACGCTTCATACATTTCACAATAAATTGTAAATAATTATATAACTATATATATATAGAGTATGTAAATATATATATATATATATATATATATATATATATATATATATATATATATATATATGTAAATGTTGGTAGTAGACCATAATTTTTTCAATATTCTATAAATTTTACCGAATGTTTAGCGTTAATATGTTTTACAATATTTTATAAATTCTATCGAATGTTTAGCGTTAATATGTGAGAAACTTTAGTGAGAAAAATCGAATTTAAATTCGGCTACTGATGAGTCCCATTAGGCACGAAACGCGTCTGGTCTAGGACGGGTTAGGTGTTCAGAGTAGGGCACAATTGACTGATAATGTAGAAAAAGGAAGGTTCAATGCAACACTCCTAGAACACACACATAATTTGAAACTACAAGAAAAATCATGGACAACAA